AGGCCGTGGGGAGGGAATAGGGGGAACACGTCGGGCGGGGTGACCGCGTGGTCCACGTGGCGGGAGAGGACGCAGCCTTCTCAGGCCGCAGCCTGAGATTCTCCCAAACCCGTGGCCTGCAGAGGGATCCCCTGCAGGTGTGCGTGGCGTTCTTGGCTCTTTTAGGTTTAAAGATGGATAAAGTGGTCCAGAAGAAGTAATCGGTGCTAACTTACAGCTCTTCTTCCTCTTTTGAGCGTTGCATATGCCAAAAATGCAGGTTTTAGAAAATGTCAATAATAATTACTGTTTACCTGAAAAGGGTGTTCATATAACCAAAATATGTGTGTACACATCTGTGTGTGTGTGTGTGTGTGTGTGTGTGTGTGTGTGTGTAGAAAGTGCATTATCCCATTTGATGCTCCCAACAACTCTAAGGTAGGGTTCATTATTAACTTTACATTTATTAACGTAAGAAACATTTAAACCTGGAAAGAATTTTTGTTAATTTACTCGAGCCCAAACTGTTGACAATTGCTGGGAAGCAGAATCTCAACGGATTGAGATAATGCTATGGAAAATGGCAGTTTTGCACCTTGTTCTATAAATTACAATCAAAAGAGACGACATAAGTGGGTTACATGAAATCCATTGGTGATAGGTTAGGGAGGCAGGAGAAAGCAAAGTGTGTGGGGGGATTGGATAAAAAGTTAAATGATAGATCCATACTTCTTTTACTGGTACTGAGGTGGGTGCAGTATAGTAACTATATTCTAGTTAACTGTCAACAATTAACTCAATAACAAGGAGGGGATTTGTGGTCTCCGCAGAGTGGTGCCTGTGCTTTGAGGGGTCCGGAAAAGGGAAAACTATTTCGACATTCCAAAGATATGTTATCATAGATGCAAAAAGACAATAGGCTCAGTTAAGGTAAAGATTGACCTTTGTCAGAAGATTCTGGCCTAGAATATGACTACCCACCATAAACTGCTTTTTAATTTTAAGTTTTAATTTCAGCCCTAGAAAGTTTGGCTCAGTGGATAGAGGGTCAGCCTGTGGACCAAAGGGTCCCGGGTTCGATTCCCATCAAGGGCATGTACCTCAATTGCAGGCTCCTCCCCCAGCCCAGGCCCTGGTCAGGGCCTTTGCAGGAGGCAACCTATCAATGTATTTCTCTCACATTGCTATTTCTCGCTGTCTTTTCCTCTCTCTAAAACAGTGGTTCTCAACCTTGGCTGCACATTAGAATCACCTGGCAATCTTTTTAAAATCCTGATTTCTGGGCCTCATCCTCCAGAAATTCTGTTTCTTTGTTATGGGGTGGGGCCACAACTTTAGTAACAAAGAAACAGACACAGTCTCTGCAGGGAAGAAACATCTGCACAGCTTATGTTTCAAGGGACCTGGCGTATATGGCATATCTTTGCTCCCCCTCTTAGCGCTATGCGTTTTAAACAGGACCACCTCCCCGAGAAAGGTTATTTCCAGGTGAGGATTTTTCCCTGGAGTTAGGTATTAATAGGACTAAGGAAGAGAATAAATCAGTGAAACCCCCTAGTGTTACAGAAATACCATGTACTACTTATGAAGAACTTGGACTAAGACTGTTGGCAATAAATTTGGGACTTGTTGGGCCCACATCCCCAGGGGTCTGCCCACCAGGGAAAGCACCAAAGCCTATACCCCTGGAGATCCACCGACACAGGGCAGTCCCAGGGAAGGCAAGCAGCGAGGCTGGGAGGACATAACCTTTACTGGGTAGGATAATCTCCTTCAGTCACTTTCTTGTAGCTTATCAGTAGAGCAGCGACCTTG